CGTTTTTATAACGTTTTGAACCTTATACTTCAATATTTTGGATCTTTCAATAAATTTTATTTTTCAAAAGTATAATTGAAAATAAAAGGGCACATAATGTTCAATGTTTTAACCTTCTTTTTTGAAATATTTAGATGTTTACTAATAAATCTTAATAATAAAATTTTATTTACTGAAATGCCAAAGGCAATCATTGAATATTCCTCTTTCTATTTTCTCACTTGTCTGTCTTATAAGGAGAAAATATATTAGTATTCCCTTTCAACCTCCTTCAATATCTTTTCAGTTAGGTCATTACATTTTTTTTCTATATAGCGTCCGTATGCGTTTTGGGTGTATAGAGAAAGAAATGAGTTTTTTATACTTCCTACGTTTCAATGGAACTGGTGTCATTTTGAATTTAAAAAAGTAAGTATGAATTTAGTACATTGAGGGGATGATAAAAAGGAGGGATGGAGAGGTTTCACCATTATTGAAAATCTGGTTTATCACAAAAAGTCTAAAATGTTTTTACTATTTTTGGTGAAAGAAGGTGGGGGGGGGGGGGGGCTCTTATAATGCATACTTCTTTTAGTAGGGTATACTTGTGGAACGATATCATTTTGGGGTTTTCATGTTTTTTCCTTTGGTACATGTACACATATAATTTGTGAAAAAAGAAAAAAAAATCTCCAACAAGGTCCGTGATTGAATATCGGGGTGGTTCATGCATGTCAACAAGTACCTTTGAGCTGGTACTACGGACCTGCATGAAAAAAGCCATTTGAAGCGATAATTATTTGACACTCCCGACGTCATATGTAGGCATTGAGTAAAATGACGTTTTTTGTACCTGTGACAAAATGGCTACACTTTTATTGATGCTTGCATTTATTTCATGTAGACCATTACTGTAAAGATTGTGTAATTAGTAAGTGCAGCAGTAAATGTTCTTTCAAGCTACATACATGATTGCTTTATATCTTACATTAATTTATATAAGTTTGATATGTTACTGAGACATATTTAGCAACAATATTGTGACTCGTGCATGCGTGCATAACAAAATGGCTACACTTAAGAAAGCCTTCCTAATGTTTACATCTGGAAAAGTAATATAAAATGTATCAATTCAATTAATCTAAGACATAATATGCACTAAAAGATTATTCATCAAAATTAATATTTGTCTGGGATTTATGTCTGGTACACATATCCATTTCGGCTAATGTCAGTGTAAGGAAACGATTTTTTTTCTATTAGACATTTTACTTACGCACTGTAGATCCAGTATAAATTCATGAAATTGATAAACTGATGTTATCTGAAAGAATGCGTATATTTTATTGTACCCCCTAAGTTTAATTTAATTCAGAGAACTGTTAGTGCATTTTTTCATCCTCTTTAGTTGCGCGAATAATAATTGATGTAACGTCGGACACGGGAATTTCACCGTAAATGATCAATACTGAGTAACGCCTCATCATAGTTGAAATAATTTTAAATTATTTAAAAGAAAATTTTAAGAATTATTCATTTCTTTAGATAAAATAAATAATTTTATTTTAAATTTAATGTAAATGTGACATCGCGAAACCGCCAATTTCTTTGCGACATAAAGAGTTATAGATATTATAGTACCAACTCCGTGCGCAACGTCCATACCGGTAGGCTTCTCCGCATAATTATTTTAATAAAAATACTATAAATGTCGCATTAATAATTATTTTTTTTATTATGTCATTGGTATTAGAGAAAAAAATTAAACAAGAAAACTTTTAAATATAGACAAGTACATTTATATCTTGTACAGTGTATTTTGATTACTTTTCTTTGTGTTTTAGGTGAACATCGTAACAATCCACCGGATGTCAGGTGTCTACTGTATTCTCTACTGTTAACTGATAAATATCAGCTGAAACTTAATGAACAATCCCACAGGATCATAAGGGACAAAATCAGAGACAGATATTTTCCTGATGTTAAGGATGACAACTTGGTAGATTTTCCTGAAGGATTCACAGAAACACGTGCCGGTGTGATAACGTTTGTATCAGATGACATCCGACATGACGTCATGTACGCCTTTGTTACGGAGTGTCTGGTGGAGGACAGTGATCTAGAGTTTTTCCTGACCACGGCGTCACGTGACGTGATATCAGAATACTGCCGATCCAGGTGGTATGAGAGGAGTGAGGGAGAGAGATGTCTGTATGTACCGGGCTCTCCGGAGAAGATGAACGACCTCTTCATAGACAAACTACAGCTGGACATCATCACACACTGTACCGTGTCTGACGACAGCATTCATGGCGGAATCAGTAAACACTGTAGGTATTTTGGAAGTTTTTCATCATGTCACAAAACTTAAATGACAGTTCTTGTTAATATGGTTGATATGGTCTTTATACTCGTCGTTGTCTCTTAATCTGGTGGATGATCTGAAACATGTCTCTCATTCCCCTGTTAATAAAATTAATACTTATGTCCCAAAGTTTTTCAACTTTGCTGCATAACCAAATATTTTGTTTTAATCTTAGCATGTCTTGCACATTAGATATAGAATAGAATATTTTTGCTATCACGACTGAAAGTCCTCTCAGTTAAAATCTCTATACAGGCGTGGATAAAAAAAAATCAAAGGGGGGGGCAGTTATTTCAAATACATACACAGTGGGGGATCCAGAAAATTTGTAAGGGGAGCAGTAAAAGTCAGGGGGTCTAAGGGCTACACTAAAGCCCCCAGTGGATGTAGGATAATGCCCTGTTGGGGGCTGACACATTCTTACTAATAACAGATGTTTTTTTTCTTGATTTTAGGATAATTGACATATGCATGTGTATATGTTTTACAGACAGAATATTAAAAAAGGAGGAAGGGCTCGCCAGGCATACAGACCCTGGATCCGCCTTTGATATATGTTGTTTATCAACTCAATAGGATACAGGGTGGAGTGTAGTTTTTAAAGGTCGGAGGTTGATGAGAAAAAAAAATACCCACTTGAATTACCTTAAAGTTTTGAAAGATAACGGTAAATAATCTCCTAACCCGAAAACTTCATTTTGTAAAGGAGGGGGGTCATTTTGTTTTTACAGCCCAATTTTTTTTTTATATTTTACAATATTAGCCTTTCACTGAGCATTTTCTTTATTAAAAATACTACACAAGTTTGGGACTTTTTTCTATCTCTTTTTTTTCAAATCCAAATTAAAAGGAGGTTAAAACTCCCGTAAACCATGCCCCAGCCAATGCTACGTTATCTGTATCTGCATTGTTAAAACGCACTTTGATTTTTTTTCCGAATACCATGCGCGGATAAAGAAGGGGTTTGGGGTAAGAATTTACAAGGTTAAAATATGTATATACTAAAGAAAAAAAAAACAATTACCATGGATCCTTGGAAAACGGTCCCCCCCCTTCCAAGTGTGAAATTGGTATGCAAAGATTTAAGGCAATAGAAGTCATAAATAGACCCCCTACACACACACACACACACACACACACAAGTTTTTGACGTTTGGCTAGTTTTTTTGTTTGTTTGTTTGTTTGTTTGGTTTTTTTTTTGCTTGTCAAGAAATTTCTGGGATTTCATTTTTTTTTAATTTTGGACTGGGGTTGACCCCCCCCCCCCCTGGAAAAATTTCTGGAACCGCACCTGAACATTACACCAACGAAGACGAAAAACAACGGACTTTGGTCAGAAGGGCTCATTTGAGGAACAATGGATGATGTACTGATTTCACGATATATGTAACCTTTGGTAATTTTTTTTTAAATAGTTGGCGTCCCTAGTGAAGTACTAAAATGGGACCAGGAGGCCAGAGAGCGGTATGTGGAGTACGCTAAAAGAGGAACACAGACAGTCCACCACGCCCGGGGGATGATTGTTGGATGTGCCGGGGCCGGGAAAACCACGCTACTTAAACGTCTGCTTGGTCTTAGTGAAAAAGAGATTAAGGAAGTAAAATCTACTGAGGGATTGGAGGTGCATGAGGAAAGATTTGAATTATGTGATGAAGCAAAATCTCTAAAAGGTAAGATATCAAGGCTATTGATACTTTAAATATTACAAAGCTTTTTAATATTGAAAAATATATGATAAAATAAGACCCTTTTATTCTAATCAATATGAAACACGAGGAAAAACACTGAGAAAAAGTCCGATCCGACGGTAAGTAAATGAATCAATTGATATTTACCATGATCATGCGCAAAGGGTGAACTGACATAAGCATGCATAAAAAGAAATGAAAAGTAAACTTTGACTTCTTAAAACCGTTTAATTTCAAATTATTGTTTTTCAAAAAATACCTTTCCCTTACATTTTAAATTTTACGATAAAACTTCACAGGTAACTATTCCAGGATCAAAGAAAAATAAAAGAATACTTCGTAAATAAAAGAAAAGTTCGTATTTCTAGTTTTTATAAACAAAATATATAAAGCCTAGAATAGTCTTTTAGTTTTTTTCTGTTGGCATTGTTGTTAATATGCTTTGAATTCTAGTTACATTACATAACTAATTCTAGTATGCTTTTTAGCAATACTTATTGCTTCCAAGTTGTTGATATTTAATGCAAATTTAACTGAGGCTTTAATTTTTAAAAAGCTAATAATTTTTAAAATAACAGGTGGTTCGTGACAACAAATTATAAGACATCTGAATATGCTTTCAGTAAGAACAAGACTTTTGGATCACAGAAGTAATGAAAAAAATGAAACTGATATTGAAAAGAAGACTCTGACTATGTTTGACTTTGGGGGCCAGTGTGCGTACTACGCCTGTCACCAGATTTACCTGACCAGAAGAGCTTTCTATGTTGTGGTGGTGGACGCCTCTAAACGTCTTGATCAGAAGGTGGATGAGAAAGTGTGTGATCAAGATGGGAGCGTTTTCTCTGGATGGACGTATGGAGGTATACCGCACATCTTTCCTTTCATTTGTTTCATATCAATTTCTCTAAAGAGACTGATGTTTCTTGCAATAACTTCCTTAAATAACTCATGTGCGGATCTCAAGGGGAACCCCCTTGAAACGTGGACGTTTGTTAAATTGGTATGAAGGGTAATACTTATTCGCATCCCCCCTTGCTTATCAACAAAATTCTTAGAGGTTGGGGTTTTTATTTGACTGGGTTTAACCCCCTCCCCTGGAAAAAAATCTTGTATCTGCGACATTAACTAATATCTAAACACTTAGTTAACACTTCTACGACCGTTGAAAAGAGATGCATATACCATATCAGGTGGAAAGAAACAGAAAAAAGACAAAAATGCGTACTCATGCTCGCAGATTAGGCTTGGACAACCTTAATGAAACTTAATAGAAATTATGAATACAAACTATAGATGTACTTGGATCTGGATAATGTTCTACATTCCTACCGTTGCCAAGGAAACGAGCAAAAAGTGACTATCCATTTATGTTTATTTCTCTCGGTAAATATGAATTTTGAATATTTATTTCTTCTACAGTTTCAAAGTGGTTTCCTGATAATAAAAAATAATTCGAATGCAGCAGGTCTTCAACTTTAGTCATCAGAACAAACTTGTATTCTAGTTAATCATAGTTTTTTTCTCGACATGCATCACCTGCAGACATGCTTATCAAAGACGCTGGTTATTTGTTGCATACAAATGATAAATAATTTCGAGATGTGTTTACAACTTTTTCTTGCTTTTTTCCAGTTTATTTTGTAAATATTAGATAACTTTTAAAATAGGTCGTAGTGCAACATTTTTTTCTTCCAAACTTGCATTTTCTTTTTAATTTTACATTCGTGATTCAAAACAACGATTAATCACAAATATCATTATGGCTGTTATTTTTTATAGTTACATGTATTGAAATGTTTTCAAATGTTTTATTATTGGAAATATATACAAGTCTATAGCCAAATCAAAATTCCATCAAGTGTAACAAACGCATTGGGGTTACGGGGTATATATGGTTACAATATGATGAGGTATTTTTAATAAATATGGCAGAAAGCGGCTATATACATGTATATATATATATATAGCTAGTATGAAACAAGTCGTTCATAGATGAAAATGTTGAGTTTTTAAAATTCATGTCAGCTTTAAGAATACATGAAATATATGTTGATAAGGAACTGTATTCAATCTCAAAAGTCCATAAAACAATACAAAATAGGAGCATGCAGAGCCCCTTAACATCAGTTGTGGGATCAAGTGCAATAGGAAAGTGAGCATCCCCTGTAGACCGGTCACTTTTGCTGTATTATTTAAAATATACACACTGTATTACAACTGAAGAATTTAATTTCACGGTCAGGAAACAGAGAATTATTACTGCAAGTACTCAAAAATGTGAAACCTAAAGTATACAAAGACAAAGTTTAGCCTTGAGTAGAACACATTAGGCATATGGGAACACATGTATCCTGTATTAGATTGCTAAAGAAATAAAACAAATGTTGCTTTTGTACATCTAATTACTAAGTAGTGATGGTCTTACGACGCAGTACCACAACAAGCAGAACTTTTACTTGTTAGCTTGCGGGGTCTTCAGTAATGGTTTTAAATCCGTTTGAATTTCTTGGAATAAAAACATGGACATGGGAAGGGGGCAGCTGACGGTGTCAGTGCAGTTGTGAAGAGAAGAGCAAATGTCTTTGAGAACACGGGAGATCTCATCAAAGTAGCTGATAATATCAAGGCCTTGTAATCATTCACATCAGTTAAACTAATGACTGTTTCGGATAAAAGCACTAGTTACAGAGAAGAGGAAATATGTGAAACTAATCGGATTAATCGATTTTGGAGGTGAATGAAAGTTATTTATTACACACTTAGTAATAAATACAGGTTTTTTGCATATGCGATATGGCTGACGTCACAATAGCCGTATCAGCCCTGCAGGGCTGATATGGATTTGCGGGGCTGATATCCGTATCAGCCCTGCAAATCCATATCAGCCCTGCAGGGCTGATAATTGTGACGTCAATATCACACCCTTAGTAAATTAAACCACAATAACAGTACTTGTGATCATATACAATTTTTGGTGGGTTCATATTCTCTTAATTTGAACTTTTTGAAAATAAGGTTAATCTTAATTTACAAATACATGTAATACTATAGATTATTTTCAAATTACTATGGATCAAGTGCATTGAAATAGAAGTAGAAACAAACCCAAATCGTATGAAACATTAGACTATGTACATGTATGTAAGGAGTACATGCATGGTTATTTGCTTATTTTCTTCTCAACTGAATGTGTTCTGTATTTTATTACTAAGTATGTAATAAATATAATAAAACATACCCTTTTCCACATCACATCCTGTATCAGCCCTCGACCAATATCAGCCCTCGGGCCTTCGGCCCTCTGGCTGATATTGGTGTCTCGGGCTGATACAGGATGTGATATGGAAAAGGGTATGTATTATTCTCTATATATCAAATTCCTGTGTCGTCAAATATTAGAGAAAAGGCCGAGCATACCCAGAAGTCATATCAGCAGTTGATGATTGATTGATTGTATATTGTTGTACGTCCCTCTTGAGAATTTTTCACTCATATGGAGACGTCACCATTGCCGGTGAACGGCTATAAATTTAGACCTATACTCGGCACTCAGGGCCATTGAGCAGTGAGGGTTCTTTATAGTGCCAACGCCTACCGTGACACGGGACCTACGTTTTTAAGGTCATATCCGAAAGACCCGTGACTTTCACTTCTGGTGCCGAGCGCTTGGCGAAGGAACAGTCACTACATATGTTTACGTCTTATAGGTTTGACGCAGCGCCGCGATCGAGAATCGAACCCGGGCCTCCCGATCACGAAGCGAACGCTCTACCACTAGGCTACCGTGACCGGTGCAGTTGATGAAAATGTTGATTTAGAGGTAAAAAACTTGCATAGATTAAGGGTAACCTTTTTTGGCTATGGATTGGTATGCAAAAAAATATATTATACCCCTACTAAAGAATCAATCTAGTTACATGTACCCAAAGGCATGCCGAGGTTGTCTCTGTTATCCAGGAACTAATACAGATGGACGAAGACGAATTTTAGATTTATTGGTCGATTGTATGTGTTTTTTACTTCTTAATCGAGATTTATTTTGCTAATGAAGGGACGTTTCCATATATATATTGGTGAAGAACTTCACATTTTGACCTTTACTAAGCACTCAGGGTCATTGAGGAGTGAGGGATCTTTATCGTACTGGTACCAATGCCTGCCGTGACAGGACCATTTTTAAGGTCTCATCCGAAAAAACCACTTTCTCTTCTGGTGTCAAGCGCATGGCGAAAGGAAAGATTAATATCCATTTTATCTACTTATGTCAGTCGCGACCAAGATTCGAACTCACGACCTTTCGATCATGGAGTAAGCGCTCCTCCGACTGAGCTAACGTGAACGGTAAATTTTAGATAGTTATAAGTATATCCTAATGACAAAAGTTTCATGACCATTACAATTTATCAACATTGCAGTGAGCAATGTTTTATCCTCTGTTTTTCTAAGAAATTCCCTACATGTTGTGTACTAAAGTTAATAAATCTTGTACATAGTAAAAATACATAATTAATCAGTAAAAAAATTAAAGTTACTTTGCTTCTTCTGAAAAATGTGAATTCATTTCTTTGATGACGCACAATTTTGCATTTGGTTTACGATAAAGGTTTATTCTTTGCATACTTTAACTGATTAAATTTATCTTATATTTGATAATCTGCAAATTTAATCAACTACCTTTTTTTATTCCAAAATTAAACAATATAATTAACTTATGGTTGAAAGAGCTACAAGATCGATTATCTTTGAGATATTGTCATAATATACTGAAAGGAAAAAGAAACGCAGGGTAACATAATATTCCCAAAAAAATTTGACTTCATGACCAAAAATAACGAAAATTGGTCAGATAAGAAATTAAGCTACTATGCATCAAAATCAGTGATCATAATTACTCAACCATAAAATGTATGACGTCATGTTGGGAAAACGCTAAAAAGTCCCATACACGTGCAATTTCATGATGGCAAATTTGTCATCGAATTTTGTTACACCATTTGATGCACCTGAGGTATACACATTGTTTTTCAAGACTTAGAGACGATATGATCTTTGAATTTCTTGCAATCTTATGACAGTTTAGAGAATTTCAAAAGGGTCTGATTTTCGAATCGCCTAATTAGTGAAAAAGGCAAAAACAGGTAATTAAGCAGTTTCTTGTAAATTTTCCCCAATTAACTGGTAACCCGTTGTCAGAGAGGGCCTAGAATGGTTTTTCAATCAACCGTGACGATGACGTTAACGCGAGTCATGTTACGAGCGGGTTATGTGTCCTTCCAACTTTTAAATCACAACCCTACAACCACAAAAACTACCTTTTATGCAGTTGACTAGCACATTCATTAAATTCACACGAACAATGAAAGAAAACAATTTTGCAATTTGGTTTTTCGAGCCAATCAACTTACTGTTGTATTCCTCTCACTGGCTCATGCGTGCATCGCATGACTAATTCTTGGCATATATGTTCACTCATGCCCAATATAGCCAGAGTTTAAAAGATATTCACTCTGATGAATTCCATGCGAAGGAGAAATAACACTCATGACAGATGTGCAGGAGAAACATTGGAAATTATGAGAGTTTTCGATTTTCACTTTTGGTGGGTATCGTCATATGAGCTTCAATAACTTATAAATTATTATTCAAAATCAAATGGGATTGTGGTTATATCTTTTTAAAAGATGATTTTGGAAGTAAGATAGGAATATTGAAAAAAAAATTGAAAGAAAAATAAATTTAATTTATCTCAAAAGTTTACCCTGCGTTTCCTTTTCCTTTCAGAATATTTTCTTTCGCATAGATCTGATATTTTTAGCAAAAGAACATTCACAAAACGCATATGTTTACCAGTTGCCAGAATTGAAAATAAATAAATATGTATACAAATATCGAGATAGCGTTTTACATGTAAAAAATCTCAAAATAAATAGAACATTTTTAAAAAAAAAATTAGAATTACAATTTTTGTAGCATGACCGGCTTATGGTCGATCTCAAACTGTGTGCGATTTGCTTATGCATTTTATCCAAAAAGAACGAATCTTGTAGTCTCACAGTGGTATATTTATACCAATAGAATGTTAGAAATATTTTGAACGAGAATGTTTGCATTAATATCTTTTCAGATTACTTTGTTTTCTGGCTGAAGTCTATACATACCTACTGTGGTTCTGACAATGATAAAGATCCAAAGCCCACAGTTCTGATAGTCGCAACCCACTGGGACAAAAGAAACAGACAGTTCCATGTAAGAATATTTTATGCAAAAAAAAACATCATTTAATAACACATTCCGAAGCTTAAGGAGAGGAGAAATACTGTTTTACCCTTGTGTGTCTGTCTTGCATGAGTCTGTATGTCCGTATGTTTGTCCATTAAAAATTTTCATTATTTTTTCTCTTTTCTAGCACACTATTGAATTAGTGGTAAGATTCATTTTTATCACATCCTTCGTTATCTTCCTCTTTATCAGTGCGTTTGTCCATGTCGATTTTTCATAACAGTTTTCTAAGCAACTACTCGTCAAACGCTATTGAAATTTTAATATACTCGTTGAAAAACATTCGATCTTTTGAAGTTCAATAGGAATCGCATGACTGGCAACACCATTTTTTTTTTTTTTTTTTTGATGTCCAGGAAAAAGGTAAAGACCATGACATGATCTTGCCTCTAATAGAAAAACGGTCAAAGAACAAAGTGCAGTATTGGCAAAAAATAAATGCCGCGTTTCATATCTGTTCCGTTCAAAACATTTTAAAAAAGCCTATGATATTTTGTGTTAAATTAAAGTAAAGAAGTTTCTGTTGTTTTTAATATTTTATTTATTCTTTATATTTATTTTTTTTAATTTCTTTATCAGATAATTAATCCGAGTTTATCTTAGCTTTAGCTGATAGCAAAAAGAAAAAGAAAAAAAAAGAACGCCAACACAATTACGATGAAAAAAGGAAATGCTGGAAATAGTGAATTGTCTTTTTTCTGGTACAGTTGGGCTTACATGTAAAACAGTCGCCTTAAGCTTAGGGGGGGGGGGGGGGGTAGATAAAAATAGTCTTTTTATCCTTCACCTTTTATTACGGCTCCATAGCCTTTTTTACCCGTCGACATTCCCTCTTTCCGTCTGAAAAAAGCAACGCATCAAGTTCAGGAATTAGTATTTATAACTTACAATGAAATCTAACTTCTTTTTGTAAAGATTTATATTTCGGCCGGTAGGGGGGGGGGGGGTCCATGCAGTTCTGAAGAAGTGTGGGGTACATGCGGTTAAAAAGACAAAAAAATGTTAATATGATAACAAAATTAATTATTTCATATGATATGAATGCGTAATGCCACGGGTACTTGTGGACAGTCCCCCGCCCACCCACCACCACAACACACCCTGTGCTCCATAAAAAATTACCCCACTGTGCATTATAAGAGAGACTGTGTACCAATTATTTGGGATGGTTTTTTAACGATTTTTTACCTATTGTACACATGATGAATAAGTAAAATATATTTTGCGAAAAATATTCAATAAGCCCCAGGGTTGAATGTCCGGGAGGTGGGGTCCTGTCCTCAAGTACCTGTGTGAAATGCAATGCCGACCGAAAATTTAAAAAAAATATTTGCAGAAAGTAATATACTTGGAAATGTTTCGCTCTTTAGAACGTTAGTGTGGACACTACATAGAAATCAGGATTTCTTCTCATGAAAACGGATTCTTTTTAAATTTGGATTTTTATGTTAAAGGTCTGTCAACTATAAGTATAGCAGTTTTACATGTTATTTTTCACATTTAAAGGCTTGATATAACATTTAGTGATTTTTCATGAAAAATGTCCATATTTTAAAAGCTATGATGCATTAATTTAAAAGTTAATTTTTTATGAAACATTTCCAATACTATTTTATTGTATATCTTAATATGGTTGTGATATTTATTTAAAGAAGTATAATTGGAGATCTCACTTGTAAGAGTACATGTAGGTTACATAACGTGTATAATAAGAAGAGTTATGTTTCAAGACTCGTAGGAAAAACAAAATTAAAATATATACTGAGGTATGACAGATTAAAAAAAATTCTATGAATTAAATCTTAGCATATCGTCGTGTTATTTAAATGGAATGAATTTAATCTTGAGAGATTTTAGCACCGTTGTTAAGTACTATAGCCGATGGGTACTATGTGCGTGCGTACTTAGAAACGATAGTAGTACACGCAACGTCTTTTATACTACAATTGATCCTATTTTCAAATTATTTTCCATTCATAAATGTTTATAATTATTTATCACCCTTAACCTTATATGTATATAAGCTTTCCAATGACTACTGATATAATTTAATTATAAACATAACCCCGTTTTGAGTAACTGTGTGTAGTGAACATCGATATCAAGTCAATGATTTTGGTAAAATGTCGTTTTTCACATTGAATTTTCCCAAAATTCATATTGATCGCAAGTGACAACCAACACCATTTTAACTGTATAAATTAAATATATACCAATGAACTTACATGCATGCGCAAGGGTGTAATTTTATGAAAGATCGCTTATTTTAAACCATTTTCAACGAATTCTAGGTAACATTCCATGTTTAGCGCGTATTAGTGACGTCATAATGAAAAATTGCTTCATTTTTGTACCCGTGGAATTTAGTTCGCATCTTACTTGCTCCAATATTAAAAGAAAAAAAGTAAAGTTTAAAATATTGAAAACTTTGCGGCAGATAACTGCTAATATCGAACGTTGTTCTTTAATCTTACTGAAAACATCACTTATAGTGATAATGTCTTCTTGATTCTGTGAAAATGTTATTGATTTTTAAATACAAGAATTGTTAAGGGAATCCTATCTTAGTAGCTCGTACATGTATATGTTGCAAAATAATGTTTTGGGATCTTAAATGCAATAGATAAAATACTTTTTTACTTTTACACCAATAAGATCGATGTTTAAAAATGTAAATTTGGTCTAATTTTTAATGATTAATACAGGCATTTTAAGGCCACTTAGTTATGCAATTGTGTAAACTGATTTAGTCTCCCTTTATGTTGATCACTTGTAAGCATAAAGTTAAATGTCTTTTACATGACATTTTTGAAAGGCTTTTGAACTAAATAAGTCCATTAGCCTTTATAGGAGGCAGAGGAATATCAAAACAGCATAAATAGAAGTATAGTTCCAAATGACATGTTGACAAAAAAACGAAAACAG